ACTACACTGTTTGAATATGTTATTCCATCGGTATACACATCACCTCTCCGTATAATATATATGTGTAAAATAACACGGTACGTAACATAACAGGCTTTGAAGAGTAAACCGAACAAAAATGTTTAGCAAACAGATTGACACTTTCCAGCTTACAAGAACTATTGACACCATCTAAAGAAACTGTGTCCGGAACAGCATTGTGGAAACGATTCTTGCGCACTAAATCCCAAAATTTTTTGGGATTTGACGATAGAGATTTTTCAGACTGTTCAACAAATTCTTTATGACATTTTTTGGAAGTATATTTACATTTAGCACGAAGCAGGGAAAAATCAGTGTAATCAGCAGGGTCGAAGATAGATTTAAACTTTGCATGAGCTTTATTCTTACGATAAATTAACGATTTGTGGTCTTTGGATACCCAAGAGGGAAAACTGGATTTATAGAAGCGTGATATAGGGACAAATCTCAAGATTGAATTATGAAGAGCATCAGTAAAGGTACAAACCGCAGTATTTAAGTCAGGGTTGGATAGAGTAGAGTACCAATCGAAGAAAGACAAAAAAGAAATTATAGAATCGTAATCGGCGTTTTTAAAATTCAGAAAGGAATGTGATGAGTTATATATGGTAGGAGTGGTGATATACGGAAATGATATTTTTAGAGGAGGATGATATGGGTCAGGTGGTACAAACGGTTCAAGAGATTAGGTAACAACAACGGAGTCTATGTTACAACAAATTAGATAAAGTATAGAACCCTTAGAGTTAAAAATAGAATTTTTTCGGTAGAATCCATTGAAAGCAAGTAGTTCAGGAACACATGGCACACGAAGAGGGGATGAGAAGGTATAAGTAAGGCCATGTGAATCATTAGACCAAGAAATCTCAGGCAAATTATAATCACCACAGAGCAAGAATATGTGTTCAGGATGATGTTGATAAACTGTTTCTAAGACGGACATAAAATTTTCAAATAAATGAGACGGACAAAGAGGAGAAAAATAGGCAGCATTAATTATAAACTTGGAAGACCCAACAGTGAGCATCACAAATAAATGTTCAACATTGATTTCACGAACAATAACTAATTCGGAAGATATATCTTTTCTTATACCAATGAGTACTCCGCCACCCCTTAAATAATTACTAGTAATAGAACATCTATCATATCTGTAGATATTATAATTGGAAAGACCAAGTTTACAATCAGTAAAAGAATCGGTTAACCAAGTTTCAGTTAGAACAAAAAAATCATAATTTATACAGGCTACATTGCATTTAAAATTTATAATTTTTGACCGGAGACCACGGCAGTTTTGGTAAAAACCAGAAATTGAGTTGGCAATTGGCGAATGATTTAGGGATTGTTGATAGTTGGCCTTTGATTGAAATTTCCATCCTTAGGGCGGTGAGACATAACCTTTGGGAGACCGTATATATGAGCTATATGTAGTCCGACTTCACCGGCTTGAGTTCTACGATCAAGTTCAGAGTGGCAGTTACGCAGTAGGGTCCGTTATAGGAGAGTCTTATCTTTAGCAATGCGAAGGTTAGGCGGGAGATTAGTACCACTTTTCTAAGCATCATGATAATTGAATAATATATTAGAGGCACATTCTTTAGACTCGAGAATTATTTTCAGGGGGCGTGTGTTGTTAGGTTGAGCTTTACCCAAGCGAATCAATTTGTAGTGAGCAGGAAGAATTCCTATAAGAGGCACTACAATTTTCTCAAGTGCAGATTTGTCGTCGGAGATACGCTGAGAGGTAGATTCGGCTGACGACTCAGGAATACTGTATACCAATAGGTTGGTTGAGCATCTTTCCCGTTCAAAAGTTTCCTGGAAAACTTGGGCAACAACAGAAGGAGAAGAGGCAGGAGAATCCAGGGATTCAAGCTTACCAACTTTATCTTTAAGAAATTCAACGTCTGATTTATGAATGTTATTTTCAGCCTTGAGTGCAGCGATAAGAGAGGACAGTTTTACAATGTCAGCCTTGAGCACTTTAAATAGGTTATCTTGCTTAATTGATTGATTTTTAAAAGACTCAGAAAATTCATTACGGAGAGATGACAATGCGGTCATGATGTCATCGTTTGTTGAAGAGGTGCAAGCAGATAAATGTGTAACTTTAGGTGAAGCAACAGCCGGTAATTTAGTGGCAGATCGAGTGGTAGGTTTCAAGGTAGTAGACATGGTACAATAGGATACCACCAGATGAACAGTAATGCACAGTGTGTTGAATATAAGGCCAAATATGCGGGAGCTAAAGTACTTTAGTACCCAGCGTTAAAGTCTTCAAGAAATAAAATAAACAGCTGATCCAAGTCCTGGTAATGAGTATACTGATAATGTGAAATCACCGCAGTGATAACGGAAACAGAAAAATGAGTACTCACGATCAACATCCACAGCAAAAAGCGACCAGAAAAAAGTAGATCTAAGACGAAAAAGGACGAAAACACTCACAACGCACTATCAATAGTTAATATTTGGAATGAACAGAAGCGCGTAACAATGAGAATTAGAAAAGCGCACAAAAAAAATAAATAGTTAATTTAAGATAATGTACACCAAGCTTGTTATCAAAAACATAAATACATAAAAATAAAAAAATAAAATAAAAATATATTACAATAAATCTATTTATTTATAAGTACTATATAATTAAAAAACCTAGCTTACAACTTACAAGTTTATTATTTACGGCATCAATACTGTTTTCACTATCCTTTGCTACGTATGGACATATTATCTCTATAATAGCTTGATCCCCAACTAAACCATCTACAATAAATAAAAATATTATAATATACATTTTCTAATTTATATAGGTACTAAATAAAATAAAAACTAAATGGATTTACGACATAGTTAATAAAAAAATTAAATATTAACCTGGACTCGCTGCTAAGTATGGAAAACTAAGATCTACAACAAGACCACTTCATTGAACATCAAGATTAATGATTTCCTCCAGTTTCTTCTTAGCTTTATGTTCCATATTATGTCCATAGGTCATTTGTTTTGATGTTATTGGGGGTTTACTGAGAACTATAGTTTTACACCTGGTATTTTGTCGTATTTTGCAAATTTCGCCAAACCGCGAAGCTGTCAACCTAATTTACGTTCTTGAAACCAGTTAGGATTCAAGTTTTTACATATTAACCTATATTTGTTTTCAGTCAACTTTACGCAGGTATTGAATAAATTCATTTTTCTTTTTTCTAAATCATCTTCATCTAATGTATCTATAAGAAGTTCAGCTAACCCATAATGCAGTGGTTCTCAACCGGGGTGACATGGATTCAATGTAGGGGTGACAAGAAAACCTTGGGGAAAAGTTTAAAAATATAGAATTTTTTTCGAAAAAAAATCGTATTATTGTAACGGTAATCATGTGATTGCTACCGCAGTCAAATAACGCAATAATTGTTTACACTAAACGGCACAGATACCGAAAAAATTCTTATCTTTGTATTATTTATTTCTATTTATAGTTAACACTAATATCTAGATCTAATCCGATAAATACGTTCGTTCGACGTGCGACAACGCTACGTTATCTGAAATGGGTCAGTTTTTCATACTATTATATACTTTACTGATTACTGTGAATTATTATTTCAAGCTAGTATAAAGTGTTTATTATTTTAGTTAAAATTGTAATTCTTCATTTTAAATTGTACCTATTAAATACTATAAACTTTTTTAAGTATTTTTAGTATATATTTTATTATACTTAACCTTGACAGTGTTGTATTTTTCGTTAGCGAGTGCAGGTAATAATAATTTATTTGTGAAAAATCGAAAATATTATTATTAAATATTATTTAATATTATTATTATTATTTTGCTATAAGTATGGATAGATTTATTACTCGGACCTCGAAATTGATTGAAAGCTCACCATCAACTTCTGGAACGTCAAAACAGAGTAAAGACTCACCATCAACTTCCGGGACTTTAAAAATGAGTGGGAATTCACCATCAACTGCTCGGCCGTCAAAACAGAGTAAAGGTAAGTGTCGGTTATACGATGAATCTTATATATCCATTGGTTTCACATGGTGTGGTCCAGAAGATGAACCTATTCCCGAGTGTATCATATGTGGAAAAACATTTACCAACGAATCGATGGTGCCCAACAAATTAAACAGACATTTTATTAAACAACATTTTCACTTGAAGTGCAAAGATATTCACTATTTCAAAAGACCTTTAAGTTGCCAAAAAAAAGAAGCAATCAAGTTCACAAAAAAAGTTAAAATTTCTGAGAGGGCTCTCGAAGCTAGTTTTGTTGTTTCCCAAATGATTGCTAACAACATGAAAGCGCATACTATTGGAGAAAATTTAATCAAACCTGCGGGTAAGGAAATGGTGCGAATAATGATTGGAGATGAAGCGGCTCTTGAAATAGATAAGATACCGATGTCTAATGACACTATTACTCGTCGCATAAATGATATGTCTGTAGATATAAAACAACACACCGTAGAAAAGATGAAACTTTCTCGGTTCACACTTCAAGTTGACGATTCAACTGTTAGTGACGGAAAATGTTACATGATAGGATTTGTTCGTTTTGTTGTTGGTTATGATATTATAAACCAGTTTTTGTGTTTGAAAGAGTTAAAAACAAAAGAGGCAAAGACATTTTTAAAACAATCAATGTTTTTATTGAAAATAATGGAATATTGTGGAGTGACTGTGTTGGAATTTGCACTGATGGAGCTCCAAATATGACCGGGAATATCAAAGGGTTTGTTACACTCGCTAAAATGAAAAACCCATTAATCGTTAAAACTCATTGTTTCATCCACAGAGAAGCGCTGATGACAAAAACGTTGGGTAGTGATCTCAATTCTATTTTGATTAATGCTGTTCGTATTGTCAACTACATTAAAAGAAAGCCCTTGAAAAGTAAGATTTTTGCCGAAATTTGTAATTCAATGGATGCTGGTTTTACAAATTTGTTGTACCATACCGAAGTGAGGTGGTTATCAAGAGGAAAGGTCTTAGCACGTCTCTATGAACTTAAAGAGGAACTTTTACTGTTTTTCATGGAAGAAGGCAATGAAGAATTTACAAGTTTTTTTGGAAGATCACGATTGGATATCAAAATTTGCGTACTTGACTGACATTTTTCAGAATCTTAACCTAGTTAATTCTAGTTTGCAAGGGCCATTAGAAAATGTTTCAACTTCCACCGACAAACTTTCAGCTTTTCAAGAAAAAATCTCCATTTGGTGTACAAACTTGGATCAAGGAAAGACAGCTATGTTTCCACTTTTTACAAGTCAAGAAAACTCTAATCCTGAAGTTCTGGGAGCCATAAGAAGTCACTTGCAGGCCTTGCAAATGTCATTGAAATATTATTTTCCAGACTTGAATGTGAAACAGTATGACTGGGTTCGCAACCCATTTACATCCTTAGTGCAAACAGATGACTGTGAATTACAACAGGAAGCTGTGGAACTAAAAAACGACCGTACGCTGCAACTAAAATTTAAAGAAATGTCGCTCAACAGCTTTTGGGTGAGTCTCCACAGTGAATACCCTCGACTATCAACGAAAGTTATTGAAGTGCTACTTCAATTTTCGACGTCCTGGCTATGCGAACATGGATTCAGTGCGCTCACAAATATTAAAACAAAAAAACGCCAAAGACTTACAAAAACAACACTAGAAGACGATATGAGACTCGCTCTATCAACCATCAACCCTTGAATTCCACAACTATGTAAAAATAACCAGGGTCAAATTTCTCATTAATTTTTAGATTTTATAGTTTATTCAATTATTATATAATATATATTTTAAAAAATCTTAATTTTTTTTTTAAATTTTAAATTTCAATGTTAATTTAACAGTAAAGCAAAAATAAAATTTTCAGTTATTATTTTTCTGTGTACTATATTTTTTATAGTGCTTGTTTTTTATATAACTAATATTTTGATGTTAGGGAGACGTAGTGTTGGGTTATCGTGGATGAGGGTGACACGAATCCAAAAAGGTTGAGAACCACTGCCATAATGATTGTCAGGACCTTCTGATTGCGCACTAACAATTTTCTTCCTATAGTTATTTTGGATAGGGATCAGTACATTTTCCCGACATTCAATTGCCCGACATCTTAATTGCCCGACACCATTTGCCCGACAATATCAATTATAAATAAATTTATTTAATTATTATATTATAATTTATAAATAAATTTGTGTCAAGAATTAATAATAATAAAAACATTTTACTACTTACAATTTAATGTTATGAGCGATTCCCCTTAGAAATGATAAATTTGATCGATTTTCCCTGTCATTTATAATTGCACTAATACGTTTTTCTCGTTCAGCATATTCTCTACGAGTTGGAGTATGTGCCCTTCCACGAATTATATCTTCGGCTCTCTGTTCCATTTGAATTTGTTCTTTTTTAATTTCTTTTGTGTAAACACCAACATGACATTTTCCAACAAGAGTTTCAAAACGTCTGTGCCAACCCTCTACGCGATTTTGAGTTCTAGGAATTCCTAATACCATTCGCTCAAATGCGGACCAAAATTTTGGTGGAAATAAAGGAGCTGTGCGACTTACATTACCTCCTCTCATTATCCTTCTAATTCTACCATGCACATAATTGTTTTCAAACCATTGCATTACCTCAGAATCTTCTTCGGGAAAAGTAAATTTCAATTCATCGAATGCACCTGGTATTTCAGTAAGTGGAAGAAAAGCAAGAGCAATAAGCTGACGTAGTTTCAAACTAAATTCTTCATCTTCTCCATATCTTTTACTAAGAGAATTTGCTTGAATTTGACGCCATACACTTTGACCTAGATGTAAAAGACAACCTATACAATTTGTATCTGGATATTCACATTTTGAAGCATTTATAGCCGCTTGCTCAAAATCAGTTAAAATATATTGAGGATTTAATTCCAATTCATTTTCGGCTGCAAAATTATTTAAATTTTCAAAAAGGCGAGTATAGCATTCTTCTGTTTTACTCGTCATTAAAGCATACACAAGAGGTAATATTTTTGCATTTTCTCCTGTTCCTACTATAGCATGTATTGTATATAATTGTCGAAAAAGTGTCGGAACAGTTTTAAAAGTACCGTCCATGATCCAATATGAACTTTTTTTCAAATGTTCAACGTTAAATTTAGTTGTAAATAAAAGTATTCTTTCATTGTCAAAGGATGTGTCTTTTGCTAGGAAAATTTGTCCATTAATAGTTCTAAGGGGTAATGGTACATTTATATTGTCAATGGAAGTTGGTTGAATAAGTATATCTTTTCTACGTGCTCTTTTTATAATTTGACGTAAAGCATGATTATTCGGCAACGATGGTTGACTTAGGCTAGAAACAGCATTGGTTTCAATTTGTATTAATTGTGCAGGCGTGTCATTAGTCTCACGAGCCTTTCGTTTTAAATTATGAACAGCCGTGATGATATCTTTTCTAGTAGCATCGGGGCTATGGTTATGCTCTTTTTTATTTCGTAAGTTGTGCTGACCATTAATTAGAATGGTACAAGCATAACCACTACAATGGAGAGTTTTCCTTTTTTCACAGCACCAATAATATAAATCATCTCTATTTTTGTCTTTTGTCATTATATAACCATCGATAACAAGTTTTATATTACCTCTATTTGATGAAACAGTTTTACAAATTTGTGCCATCTTCCAATTTATATTTAAAAAAATAATTTAAATAGAATTAAACGGAATAAAATCAAAATAATAATATTTTTAAAAGAAAGGAGTAAAATTTGTACTAAATATGTACCTATAACGGCTATAACTGTACTGTACTGAGTGCACTAAACTATTAAACGTCGCGTCAAAAATCTACGGTCGCTTTATCTGTCTATCGCCTATTGGTTTATTTGGAAATAAAAATATTATCGTGAATAGCAGTATAGTTCGTGACCGAAAACGCAATAACATTTTATTTATCTTATTATTTCACATATAACATTATTATCCATGATAAAATACTCGTCTGATTTAGGTTTTTCTGAATTATTGTATAATAATAAATAATAATAATTTTTTTTTTTTTTTTTGCTTTTGTATCGAGAGCCAGAGAAGAAACCACGTTAGTATTACTTATCCTCTGGATAAATAATAATAATAAAAAAAGATTTTATATTAGTATTACGTACAGTAAAAAAAAAAAAATATGTAAAATCAGTGCCGCAACTAGCGGGGGGACCGGGGGTGCGTAGCACCCCCA